AAATATCACCCTTATATTTAATTTATCATCTAAATCTAAATATTTTTCAGACGTAACATAGCAGAGTGAGTATTTAAAATTCTTCAGCCGTTGTAAAACTTTTTTGTTAATTTCAATCTCGTTATAACTGGGAACTTGCCAAAAATATCCATTTTTTCTTTACCATCATCCGTCTTTCTGTTAATTCTACACCTTATCATCAGTTCTACATTTCATATCATAATCACCGTAAATTATTGGTACACATTTTAATGGTATATTCAGTTACTGATTTTTATAAGTTACTATTAACACAATTACCTAATTAATCAATATTACTTATAAATTATCATTTGAAGTTTTAAAACTTGGATAAAAAATACCACGAAATGTTATTTAGTATCTCATCTATATTACATTAAACAATTCCTTCTATTTTAATTCTTGTTTAAGCTTATATTCTTGTAGATTCCAGAACATATCTTGAGTGTCGTGCATAAATTACGTAATGCAAATGTTGGTATTTTGAATACTCCCTCACTCTCCTGCAACACAACCGTTACGCGCGATTGAACCTCACTAAATAACTACGTAACGGTGCTACAACACTTCCCATGTAAATGCCAGAAGGAAAAGTAAATTATAGCTCTGTAAAAAATTGTCTTCATTTTAATTGAGTGTTTTAAAATTTAGGGTAATTTGAGGAATTTTTTCACGATGTAGATTGCATTTAATAATATTATTGGGAGAAAATTTTGAGAGAAGGAAGAACACACAGGCGAGAAAATTTGTGATCAGACGCCATGCACTCACCGCAGTTCTGGATTGCGCATGGGCGAAAGTCTACTGCGCCAATTTAATTGTATTTTACAAAATACTGCAAAGATACATTAGCATTATCAATCTCATTTATCAAATGTTTATCAATTAGTAATTCTCCTTTTCCGTAAGCAGTTTAATGATAAAAAGAAACATTTTGGCCATATGCGATGAATAACCCTTGTTTTTGTCTTTTCTACATTTATATTACGAAAAACCACATTTTCTATGCACCCTCAATTACGCGGTCTCTACACTTATTTGTCACAATCTAAAACTGGCAAATACCCTAACAGGACGTGTTCGTGAAGGATTAGGTGAGTAATAATTTTCACAGTTCTAAGCACTTTATTTGAAAAGTTCATTTTAAATATTAATTTAACACACATGTTAGTTTTTTTAAATCAACTGAATAGGAACTTTTATATCTTGTTCACATTTATGGAAGTTCTGTCATTAAGCCACTATCAGAAACTATCAAAACGGAATAAATTCCTATAGTCTTAAAATAGATACATGCTAATATTCCGCCCTTTGAAAATTTGAAAGTGAAAATAGTTTCATATGGAAACAAGAATTAAAACTTCGATGTGTTCAAATGAGCGATCAAAACAATTCAATTTATATAATATATGACAACATAATCATAATATTTTAACATTAGTTTATCTCTTCTAGTGCTTTGTAAGGTTTTGCTAAAATATTAAGAACTGTTATCAACTCCTGGGTGATGGTTCCCCTTTCAATATTTTTCCCATGCAGTTTTTCTTGGTTCTACGATCAAATTCCTAGACTGATTGCTCTTGTTTTTCTTTCAAACGACGCAAAGAGTATGACTTTTTCGTTTTATGAAAAGATTATTACAAAATAATGTTTAGATTACGATTAATGTGCTAAGATTAAGTTTACATAATTTTCATATTAGGTGTTTCTAATGCTCTACTGCTACAGTGAAGGGTATCAAGAAGTGTTAAAAAGCCAAAAAAATGGGAGTCCAAAGTGTAGTTTGTAGACAACTTGGAAAATATAACATGTGACCCTTCGACACGAAAATTAGGTAATAAAGGTCAGAGTGGAGGTTTCCCAGCAACACAGTGATATAGTGTATCGCATTCTGATGGGGCGCGTTTCCATTTGTGCCTTTTTTACTTTTTCGCCTACAGATTACTCAGTATCGAGAAAGTATTGTACAGCGGTGGTGAAAATAGTGAGCTTTGAAACAAAAACTCCTATTCTCTGATATACCAAAACTGATATTCTCTGATCGATCAAATTTATGCCATTTTAAGTTTTGCGGTACTTTACGAGCAGCCTCAACATTTTTAAACTTTTCTCAAAAATGGCACCATTTTTTCGTTCTTCTTATAGAGTAAATGTCATATAAAGAAATTGCATCGGCCGGATTTTAGTTGCACCCCTCCTACCTCGTAAATTGTTAAAGTTCAAACATTTTTCGGCAACTACAAATATACTCTAAGGAATTTTTCTTGGTTTACTACAAATAAACCTAGTGAAATTTGTTAGTTTTGTTACTACCATTACCCACAATTAATTAATCATTTCAAGCCGAATCCTTACTCAATTATTTACTTATCGTTTTTACAGATATTTTACCCGATTCATTTCAGGCGGGAAATGAATGCATTTTGTCATACGGCATCCCTGCCTGGTCGTCCTGCCCGCTTACTCGTTTGCCCTGGTTCTGCATGCCTGTCTGACGCGAAATGACTTTGTCACAAGTGCCATTTCGTTGGAAGTTTTAAACGGTATTACGGGCATTCCTTGCTACGCTTAACGGAGTCCAAGCTAATTCTGTACGTTATTCTGCGCGTATTAGTAGAAAATTCTGATATGTTGAAAACATTTGTAGATAATTAGTAAACGATAGCCACATCCTCAAATTTTTTGTAAAGCCTTTATTCAGGTTTCAATTGAGTCTGCCAGATCGGCATTGGATTTCGGCGGGGATAATTTTTGCACTGTTAGAGATTTACGGGCATTTTCGCGATTTTAGTAAGAATTTTCTCTGAGTTTTTAGTGAATATCATTTATGATTTTATTTCACCAGAGTTTTTGGTTAGGGGCATTTTAACATAATGGCATGAATTTTAACCCTAACTAGAGTGGCATTTCTAGTTGATATGGTCAGTGCGAAAAGTAATACATACCTTCACTAGTTTTCGGGACGTGTCCTGGAAGTCAAGAAGTGACTATTTTTGCGTCCTACCAAAATTGTATTTTAGTTAAAATTCTACCCGTCTGTAATGTCTTATTTCAACTTAGTAAATGTCGCTTTAATTGAAATAAAAAATGGGATTACATTTCATGTTTTACTTTTTATTTCCAATGAAATTATTCACAACAATATTTTTAAACAATTTCTTTATAGTATTTAAAGTCTTTTATTTGCCATAATTGTTTTAAACAAGCATAACTTATACATTACCAATATTT